GGGGTGGGGCATCCGCAATTTTATCGCGGCCCGGGGGCTGGGCATTTGCGTACCCCGGGGCGACCCCCGGGCATTCGACACACGTGTTTTGGAAAGAGCCATGGATGAGTTCATCGGGAAAGACGAGGCGTTTGTCGAACAATAACTCGTCCGTCAGGGACTAGAGAAACTTGCAGACGTTTTTAAAGGTATGTTTTCTCAATTTTAGATATTTCTTCATTACTTGTAAGCATATAAATATAAGCGACAAGGTGAACTATATTTTGTTTATCACAARACAATCACTGACGTGAACACGACTATTTCGCATTTCGCATTCAAAACTAGCCTAGCATCTTTTAAATTCATGAAAGTGGAGTTAAAATACTTAAGGTTGGCGAATTCAAATGAAGTCGTACCGTTGCGTTAAAATACTGAACAGTTGAACGTTTTATTCACTGATTTAATAATTAAAAAACTGCGGAGGTGTTGGAAGGCGACGATCCCGGGGGCGGAGCATGTGCCCTCTTTCTTCGTTCCCACCCCCGGGAAGTTAGACAGCTTATGTGTCCCCACCCCGGGGAATTTGCCCATTTTTTTTTTTTAAATGCTAATGCCCGGGGCTTAGCCCGGGGGGGGGGGAATGGGCACTGCTAGAATTGACTGATGCATAAGAATATGATTTCGACAACCGCGTCCGTAGGTCTATGTCACGCATCGCCATAACAATGAAATTCAAAATGCCTCGCTTGCTTGAGAAACGCAAATAACAACGACAAAGGCTAAGGAAAATAGACTGAAACGTTTATAGGTTGATATAAAGACCTTGAATCATTTCACATCCTAAAGACTTGCAAACGAGTAATAAGCTATTAATCGATTCCAAGAAATGCAATCAAAAGCAGAATAGCTTAAGCACATATACCTACACAGCCTACATCTCATTAATCCCCCACATATACCTACACGGCCTACATCTCATCCCCTACATATCTGCACATCCTACATCTCATTAATCCCCTGCATATACCTACACAGACTACATCTCATTAATCCTCCACATATACCTTCACAGCCCACATTTCAGTAATCCCCCACAAATACCTACAGCGCCTACATCTCATTAATCCCCCACATATACCTACACAGCTTACATCTCATTAATCCCCCAGATATACCAACACATCCTACATGTCATTAATCCCCACGTATACCTACACAGCCTATATCTCATTAATCCCCCACATATACCTACACAGCCTACATCTCATTAATCCCCCACATATTCCTACACAGCCTACATCTCGTTAATCCCTTACATATACCTACATAGCCTACATCTTATTAATCCCTCACATATAAATACACAGCCTACATCTCATTAATCCCTCACGTATACCTCCACACCCTACATCTCATTAGTCCCCCACATATACCTGCACAGCATACATCTCATTAATTCCCCACATATACCACCACACCATACATCTCATTAATCCCCCACCTATACATCCTGCATCTCGTCAACCCCCTACATATACCTACACAACCTACATCTCATTAATCCCCTGCATATACCTACACAGCCGACATCTCATGAATCCCTCACCTTCATAGTTTGCATTTCATTAAGTCGTTTCTAGACATTACTCATTATATTCAGTGGTATCAACTCACGTAGAACCAAGTAGTCTTTTGAGTATCGCTGTATATTTTTACGAGTTGTGCCGTATTTTGACGTACATACAGCGATACTACACACCAAAACATCTAATTAGTGATCTATTATCCAACTGCTGTAGTCAATAAATTTATCAATGAAAGAGGGAGAGTGTGACAGTTTTGCGTGGTCGCGCCGACCTGTACGGCAAACACGTTTTCTACAGTGCAAATAACTGTACAAATATCGCTGTAAATTTGTACTGTAATTTGGACGTTATTCGCTGCATTTAGATAATAAAAACCGATACTACACTCCAAAACATTTAATAAGAGATTTATTATCTAACTACTGCTAGTCAATAAATTTATCAGTGAAAGAGGGAGAGTATGACAGTTTTGCGTGCGCGCGCCGACCTGTCCGGCAAACAGGTTTTCTACTGTACAAATAACTGTACAATATCGCTGTATATTTGTACTGTTATTTGGACGGTATTCGCTGCAGTTGGATAATAATGATCAAAATTGTAAATTTTTTAAGTTCCTTTTGTCTCTCAATTGCCAAAAGAGACTTGGATACAAAGAAAACAACACCAAATATAGACGTTTGTCCTGAAAGCCTGGGAGCCATGTCAGAATAGTGATACTGATCGAACGTGGCCTATTACAACGAAGATATCCGAATTTAGTGGGAACACATTTGAAGGCGACCGACGGTCATACGAGAAATTCGAAGTTGGTCGAAGTTCACCCGAAGGCTTTCGAAGATAGCCGAATCCGAACGGCATACGAGCATTTCCCAACAGTCACAATCAACCGAACTTTTTCAAAGATCTCCGAAGAGTTCAAAAGAACATCAGACCAAAGAACATCAGAACATCAACCAAAGATCAACCGAAAATTGCCGAAGATTTCAAACATTATCGGGGGCCGTTTGCGAATAGTGTCGTACATTTTCGAAGATATTTGGAGGACCAACGTACGGCACTGCAACCTGCCTTAGCCGAACAATATACGGCAGACCCTGGCCTTAACTAAATAGTCTATATTTTAGATTATTTTCAAGTGTGTTTTAAAAAGTAATTACATGATCAGTACGTGGAATTTGGAATATATAAGCACTTGTCAATATTCCAAAGACTACAAATGCACTCGCCCTACGGGCTCGTGGCCTTTGAAAAATTTACTCGTGCTTACTTAATCCAAATTGCACTTGCAATCATGTGATTACCTTTCCATACTCGCATGTTCACACGCTGGTTACTTGTGAGAATGCGTGGGTGGAGCAAAGTAAAAAGGTTCGACCCTGCAAATTTCTAACGCTTCTAATTCTTCCTTGCTACGATTGTACTTTTGCTAATGAAGAGGACAAATATAATCAAATGAAATTCGCACAATTACAAATCAGTCCAGAAGAAAAGGAAAATTGGTACTCTTTCAAGTAAACTAGCCTTTCAGCGACCAGTTTACAGCTAGGATTTCATTTCTCCAGTCGAACGCACTTTCGATTATGTTCAATGCCCCAATGTGTAAAGCTCTTTCGCAAAGTCAGATGGCCAATTTGTTTACATAACTTTGAATAAATTCGACTACATGCAACTGAGTTTTCTGGTTGGACTAATTTCGTGTGACAGATATAATTGTGGCTGATGCAATAGGAATTTAGGTACCTGGCGAACTTTCGTTTGTACAAGACTCTACACATCACTTGACGCAAAAATGTGACCCATATCTTCACTTAATTTCTGTCACAGCTTAAAAATTATCGCTGTTCCATTACAAAAGAAGAGTTGTATCCACCCATTAAAACACAATAACTCAAGATGGCTAAATGTATTTATATTTGACAAGGATCTCCAATGTTGCTGCGCGTAGAACTTAACGATGTATGTCGTTTCAGATCCGTCGATGATTACCGCTTCAGTAGCTGAATTCTTGCAGCCGAGCAGCATTCATTATCAGATTGGATTTTCATACTGTATATCATTCAGAAGCTTTGTTACATTATTCCATGCTTCTTTCATTTCCTGTCTTTCAACCATTTTCTATGATATAGTTAAACCTCTCAGCGGTTTGTCATTGTACTAGTGAAACCACTTGTTCCGCGCAAGCTGTGCTGCGTTTTGAAAATGAATGAACCTACTGGATTAAAGGCACGGAAAATTTGCTTTCTTTCGATTCTTTCATTCGCAATTGTTTATGTTCTTAAACCGCTTTTAGTGGGGGTTTTATAATTACTCGGGCGCTGTTGTATATGGAAAATCCCTTCCGTAGCGATGACTGCACGGAAAGAAAAACAAACAGTTTTAAAAATTCCAATCGATCTTTTTTAAGCACAGACAGACAAATTCGGAAAAGGGAAGAAAAAAAAAAAAAAAAACTAAATTAAGTTTAATTTGAAAGCGTTGTCGCATTACTCTATAAAGATCTATAAAATCCACGGAGAAAGCAGAAGATGTCTTTGAAATTGTCACAAAAGATAGCCTGACACCTCTATCATTTACGACGGATTTATGAGCGAAACTTGTGTAAAGAACAACACAATTTATGTTTCCGTTTTACTCTCATCTGTAAACATCTTGAAAATGAAACGTCGTTAATTATTCATGTTCGCAGTCAGAGTTGTATGGAAATCAGCCTGCGACACTGTATAACTTCCTTAACAGCAATCGATTAAAAATAATACGTAAAAACTTCAATGCATTGACGTGTTGTTTACAAAGTGGTAGGTGAAAGCTTCCAACAGTCCCACGAAAAATTCAAGTGAACGAGTGAAGTGATAAAGAAATTAAGAATATGTATCTTTGTAGCTCTTTGTTTTCGTTGATAATCGCAGTCGTATAGAGATGAAGTGAACAGACAAATTATTTTAATTGTATTGGACTTTTTTTGAAGCCTAGTTTCAAAGCTGACCAATCGTAAAACAGCAGATGGCATTTAATATTGGGTTTGCGATTTTAAGACTTTGATCAGCATGCGCGTTTGACGCGGCGAAAATATCTTCTTTTGGAATATATTACGTAGCGCCTGTTGTGACACACAAGTGGCCGTAAATTCACTCGATTCAATGGCATTAGACCAGGATTAATCGCTCGGTCTCGTCGCAACCTGTTAAGTTAACATTTACATATGCAGCTAAAAATGTTCCCGTGAACTTAAGACGGCCATGGATACGGAAAGCGAGTCAGCTCCGCTATCGCCTCCAGTGATTATAACTCCAGATATCCCGAGTTATCCGACAAAGTTACGCGTCAAAAAAATCCAGTCCAGAACCTCTCTAGCGACCGACAGATTTTCTTGTATTTCTTTTCTAACTTCAAGCCATCGCAGCGACCATTCCGTTTGGATTCCAAGATGGCGGAGCCTTCCTTGTAATCTTGAAGAAGAAATCTTTTACGATGATTGCCCAGAGTTTTTAAAAGCCTGGTCGCGTTATCGCATAACTAATATGGCTCGTCGATACAAAACAATGGACTATATTCACATGGTCCTCGCCGATACAGAACTATATTCCGAATTGGACGGTTGCTGTGACTTGTCAACTACAGTTGGGATATCAGTGAGTAGGGATTTGTTGAATTGCTCTACAAATTTTTCGGAAAATGGATCGGGCATCGTACCACGGAGTGCGTCCGACGAAAACATACAATATTGTGACCAGGATGGAGACAAACAATTTAATCTCACACAGGTGAATGTAAATCACGCGTTAGCTTCGTCAAGGACAAGCTCTAGCGAAAATCTAAACATTGAACAAAAGAATGCTCATAAAATTGAGAAATGGCTGAAGAGATGTAACAGTGGCACGGATTGAGGGCTAATGATGTTAAAGAACTTGTGGTAAACCCACGAGCTACGATAGAAGCTGTCGGTCAGGATAAATAAATAACAACAGCTGTTTTTCTTAATGGATTCTAAAAATTTCCTATTTTCATGGCTTGTGCAATCCCAACGCGTTGTGGTATTGCAATGGATTGGGCCCTAAGTGTAAGCTGATGTATAGCTCTGCTTAATGAAGTGACACGTGTCAACAATATGAATCGTTTGTCCCTTTCAAAACAAACTTGGCATATGTGTTGTTTGTGTGACAGCAATAAGGTCAGATATTGCCATCTCTGTTGTAATCGCACTCTGAATATTTAAAATACGAAAATGCATCTTGGATTAATTCGTTTAAGTAACGCCATCAATGATCACTTGATTTGAAATCTAACAAGTTGCAGTAGATTTGCCATCGATTTCGAAAACTGATTACTTAAAGAAAAAAATGAAATTAAAAAATTTTTTGGTTTGTTTATGATACACAAGCAGCCGCTATATTTACCTTAAAATTTGCATTTGATTTCACGCCAGCACTGTTTTCTAACAAGGCCTCGTCCGTGTCAGTTCACTAAAAGATTAAACTGCCAACACACTTATAGGATTTGGAATGGTAAAAATAAAACAAACATGACGAAGAACTGAGAGTATAACGTCATTTTAGTGCGAGGCATCTCCTGTTATGCTGAAGTTACCCGACCAATACGGAGAATGCTCGTGTGTAAAGCGCAACGAAAAGTTAATATCTGTTACTTGCGGCCTTTCCTGCGATTAATCCGTTTTCTTTGTCAAGACAAGCAACGGTGGTAGAGACTGAAAAACAAATAGAAACGGGAGAAACTTGAGTATTTCTTACGGCCGGACGGTGATTTTACTGTTCCTGTACGTCATGAAGGCATGTGGTAATAAAATCAGGACTCTTGGACTCTGGACTTTGGACAGTGGATTATTTTATCTTCAGGCAATACAGTTATGAAAGCTGGGCTAGACCTTTAAGGTTATTCCTCAGAATTGCATTGGGCATCCCTACTACGCACGATTTTCGCGTCATTGGCGCGCGCTCACGAGCGCGTGCACATACACAACATATACAAAATAGTGTCTCTTGGTTTGCGAGAGACAAATCATCGTTGTTTTCTCGAAAACGAGTACCGGGACCTATTGATTTTTTTTATTTAGTTTGAGCGCAGAGATCACCTTCTTTCTATAAAGTAAATATGGAGCAATTTCTATCGTAGAGTAAAAAATTATCACGGAACATGAGAGCATAGCTAGCACTCGTAAAAGATAATGTGTGGTCCTAGAACACTACGTGCTTGGAACATATCGTATCCCTGTCAACTAAATATGAGTGCCCTTATCAAGAAACGTACATCAAATTGCTCCTTAACATTTATGCAATACATCCATTGTTTTATTTCTCGCTTAACGTTCTCTCTATTTTTCTGCTTTCTTAATACGTAAGGTGAATGGTTCAAATATAAACGTTTCTGAAAGCGGTTAATTTCAGGAATTATGGGGTTTATTGATGGTCCTCCTGCTCCTAAACGAATATGGCGACCCCCCTTTTTATTTCAAATTTTAAGTTCTCTTGATATAAGTAGCCAACAGGTAAAGTTTGAAAGAAAATCTATTGTGAGTTTTATTTCGATGGAATTACCTTAAGTTGAAGTTAAAGTTTTTACGCGGAAAATCATCATGAGCCAATTAGGTGTTGTCAGCTATGAAGAACTTAGTTGTCTCACGTGCCGGTAAGTGAACATAGAAAAGTGAGACAAATACTAGGAATGTTCGAACTACTGATTTTTTTGGGTGGAAGTACATATTTCCCGGTTTCCCTTACCTCTTCTAACCAGCGAAACCAACGAAATAGCTGCACCGCATTTTGGTAACGATACCGAGGTCTGCTGGTGGAGATTGTATGACTGGCACCCTCAGTTCCAACAATATTGAGAACAATGTATAAATTGATTAAAATGTAACACAAACAGCGGTTATAAACATTTTTAAAACACGCATTTTATGAACTTGACGTTTCCTATGCTAGTCAACGTACATTTTCCAAAGTATAACCGTTAAAATGTTTTGAAAAGCTATTTATACTGTATAAATGGGACCATTTTGACATTTTGGCGTCCGGCAAAAGTGACTACAATTGTAAGGTTAAGGAAACCTTGTTTATTCAGGAGTTGGAGCCAGCATTTAATGCCGATGTTAGTAGTGAAAAGTGTTTACTTTATCAGGAAAGCTTTCACTGTGTCACTTTACAGACAGTTTCCGTTTGAAACGTCTTAAATTTCTACTGCAGATGTTTTCTGTCTATGTTCCAGACCCCATTTATACAGTACAAATAGCTTTTCAAAAAAATTGAACGGTTACACTTTTGAAAATATATGTTGATTAGCATACGAAACGTCAAGTTCATAAAATGCATGTTTTTAAAATGTTTACTGCCGCTGTTTGTGTTATATTTTTAATCGAGCTACGATGGCCGAAGACCAAGAGTTGATATGATAACGTATAAATTACTGCAAAAA